TTTGGCAGGTGAGTCCGTGTTTACCACCATTCTCTAGGAATACGACAACGGCGGTTCCTATCCCAAATCGTGTTGTTCGTTCTTGATTTCTTTAGATTTTATCATGGCCTGACAAAAACCAGAAAGCACAATGACGACAAGATGAAAGTTTTATAAATCAAATTAATGGTGTTCTCTTTCTGATCTCATGTAATTATATCATGAAGTTGAAGTTTTTCGATGCTATTCAATTTCATTGGTATCTTTAATGGTCTAACTTCATGGTTGTACCAACTTTTGATGTACTGTTTATGTTCCAATATATTCACTTTGGTATGATTATTAGGGATATGCTAGGCGGTACTCACCATTAGACCAATTTAGCTTAATGGTTGAATCTACGGGTTATCCCAATAATTCAATATTCCGCTCAGCTCCTCCGACCAACGGGTCGGGTTACAAGCTAGTGTTTTAAAGAAGGAACGAAGATAGCAAAAGGGGAAAACCGGGTTTCCTACCACCTGCCACTCACTCTGCTATTGTCAACCGCCGACCGCCGTCTCCTCATCGGAACACCAAACTTACTCACTGAATAACTCAGTGCCTTCATTTACGTTGTCACCCCCACATTCGCCGTTTCCGTTCTGGATTTGCTTACGAACCTTTAATTTTCTTTTCCACAACTGTCTGTGCTTGTAATCCGAAGAGAGAATAATATTTATCCAGTTGTAATCCAAAACGGAAAATAAAATCGTTACTCGGCGCTCCTAATCAAAATCTAGAACTTGGAAATAAAATAAAATAAAAAATTGAAGATTCCTCTCCGGCCTTTTTTGAAATGCCGCTTTGCATTGTCGTTTTTTCAACAGAGCTGCAGAGAGGACAGATGACTCCCCTTTTCTTCTCGTACCTTAGTAGTTTTTACTAATCCTGTAATTAATTATTATATAATTTAAATTGTTAATCCCGTTTACCCCGTTGGTCCGATCGATCGAGTAAGTTGATCGAGAGTTAATGGTCTGTTCACTTTAAGCGAATATATGAAAAAATGATATATTGTTCAAGTAAATTATAACAAATCTCATATAAACATGTGTAATAACGTATAACACCAAAATATCAATTCGTATTCAGATCCAACGTATAATGAAATTTCAAAACACACATATAACATCAATATTCAAATATTCAACTATGCCTTACAAAAGTAGGATTAGGCAAAGGGAAGAATCATGAAAATGAGTAAATGACACAATTCGTAAATCGAAGAGAAGACGGCTTCGTGTGATATCCGGTTCGGAAACTTCGGGTCGACCCGAAGAGCTTGCCCATCTTCCTCATTGGGTCTGGAATCTGGATCAAGTTCAATCCGGTTCCACCCGCAGGTCCACCGGGGATTGACAACGTTGATAATCTTCACTAAATCTATTTTGTTTATAAACCTAAAAACTAATTTGGTTCTCGTTTTCGATTTTATTATTAAATTAATTCACTGCTTGCCTGCCGGGCTTTCACTTTTCTCGTTATTGCGCTGCCAAACGTGTCCCTGTAAAAGAAAATTGGGGGAAATTAAAATATTCCCCCAAAATTCTCTCTCTCTTCTTTATTCATTCATCCCTTCCCCTCTGGCACACATACAGACTTGCCCTCTCTCTCTCTCTCTCTCTCTCTCTCTTCTTTCTCTCTCCCACTCAAACCACAACACTTTTCCTACTCATCCTCTGCTTGCTACTCTTCACCTTCAGCCATCGCCAAACCACAACGAAGTTCCATCCTCAGATCACAAAACTCACCAAAGACAGACAAACACAGCTTCTACTGAATTATTTTTTTTTTGGTTACTCGGAATAAGGGGAGTTGGCTTTAGTTTTTATTCCAATGGGTATGACCGACGCAGCGGCCAAGCATCTGTCCTTCAGCGGCGGCGGAGGAGGGCTGCCCATTGTCTCCGACCTCAAGACCCTACTTTCCCTTGTGAGGACCAAGCGCTCTCTGGCTTTCGCCTATGGCTTCATGTTTGCTTTTGTCGTCTTCACCGTCTTCCTCGCTTTCAACCCTTCTCCAAACTCTTCCTCCCCTTGGTTCTTCTCCAACATCTTCACCGCTCCTTCTCCCGGCGCCGACACCGCTGTCGGCGGAGATGGCACCGCCGCTGGATCCCAATTCCCTTCTATTTTCTCTTATCTCTTCCCCAACTCCTCCTCCGACGCCGCTCTGCAGATGGAAGAAGACGGCGGCGGGTTCGCCGCCGTACGGACGGTGAACGCTTCCTCCTCCTCCTCCTCCCCCACCGCCGGAGAGGCCGACGCTGTCAGATCTAACTCCAGCAGTTCTTCACGGTCTCATAATGGGGATGTGAAAGGGCTTCCTGCTGTTAGTAACCAGACACAAACTAGTACAGAGCATTCTTTTGTTCCGCCGCCGGTGGAAAACCAGTCCAGAAACTCTTCATTCGTCGAAAAAGAGCCTCCTGCTGCACGTAATACTAATCAAACCGTAGAGAATTCCGGTAAAGTTCCCAGCTTTAATTCAACCGCAGCAGACACGGCGAATCAGAGTAAGAGTGCTGTTACTCCCGCTGCCAATAATGGAAATTCTGGCGAATCCCAAGGGAAGGATGCAGTTACAGACCAGAAATCGGCGTCGGCGGCTGCAAATCAGACTGCTATGAGTTCGATCTCCGATGGGAAGGGAGTAGGAGATAAGAATTCTGCTTCCAATCTTACAGAGAAGAAACAGAGCAGCGGCGGCGGCGGCGGTTCGAAACAGGGGAGTAAGGGGAAAACAGGGGCGTCGGTGAAACAGGGGATAGAGGCGTTGGTGGAGAGTTTGGAAGGTTGTGATCTCTTCGACGGGGAATGGGTCATGGATAATTCGTACCCGCTTTACAAACCCGGTTCCTGTTCACTGATCGACGAGCAATTCAACTGCATTCTCAACGGAAGACCTGATAAGGACTACCAGAAGTACAAGTGGAAGCCCCACGGCTGCACTTTGCCCAGGTTAGTAACTCAACCGTACCTTTTTCGCAGTTCAATTGCAACAAGTTTTCTTCCATTGGAAAGAGTCCGTTTTGGATTCAGTTTCTGGGGGTTCTAAATTTTTTGCAAAACCCTAGGTTCAATCCTGGGCACATGCTGGATATGTTGAGGGGAAAGCGGCTCGCATTCGTCGGAGATTCATTGAACAGGAACATGTGGGAGTCCATGGTTTGTATGTTGAAGAGCGCCGCGAAAGATCAAAGCAAGGTTTATGAAGCCAATGGGAGGCAACATTTCAGGGGAGAAGCTGCTTATTCCTTCATATTCAAAGTAAAGTTCGTTCCTTTATAATAATGTAGTTTCCTCTTGTGCTTGTTCTTGAAGCCCCAATTTGAATATGGAATTAATTTAACTCAAGTTTATCTTAAATAGGATTACGGTTGCACGGTTGAGTTCTTTGTAACTCCATTCCTAGTACAAGAATGGGAAACCATCAACAAGACTGGATCTCCGAAGGAGACGCTCCGGCTCGATTTGATCGGGAAGTCCTCTGATCAGTACAAAACTGCAGATTACATTGTGTTCAATACCGGCCATTGGTGGACTCATGAGAAAACATCTCTAGGGTGAGTCATTGTTGGACTTGGGTTGGTACATTTCGCTCGATTGTTACCTCGCGCCTTCGATCGAATTGAATTCTCTTTTTCGTTTTGCAGGAAAGATTATTACCAAGAAGGGAGTCATGTGTACCCAACCCTAAACGTTCTCGAAGCATTCCGGAAGGCTTTGACGACGTGGGGGAGATGGATCGACGCCAATGTGAATCCCAGGAAGAGTTTGGTCTTCTTCCGAGGATACTCCGCTTCTCATTTCAGGTACCAAAAAGAGCCAACCATGTTTGTAAAATTCCATGTAATGTCCCAACTTTGTTCGGGGTAAGGTTTAGAACTAGGAACAAATAACAACAACCAGCCAAAAGCGCAGGAAATTCCAACTTGTGTCCTCTTGAGGTTCCAGGTTTCAGCATGTCCCTTTAACTTATGTGCTTGTTTTTGGCTCCCTTTGCAGTGGCGGGCAGTGGAACTCGGGAGGGGCGTGTGACAACGAGGTCGAACCGATCAAAAACTCGACCTACCTGACCGAGTACCCCGACAAGATGCAAGTGCTCGAGAAGGTACTGAGAGGGATGAAAACCTCGGTGAAGTACCTGAACGTGACTCGAATGACCGATTACAGGAAAGACGGGCACCCATCGATCTACAGGAAGCGGAAGATCACGGAGGAGGAGAGGAGATCGCCGATGCTGTACCAGGATTGCAGCCATTGGTGCCTTCCCGGTGTGCCGGATGCATGGAACGAGGTCCTCTATGCTCAGGTTTTGGTGAATGAGTACAGGAAGCATCCTGTGCAGAAGAAGAAAGCATAGGTAAAATGAAAGAGGAAGAGTGATATGATTATTTTGAATTCAGTTCACCTTTTTTTTTTTTTTTTTTGTATATGCACAGCACCACCACTATAGTTTTTTTACTTTCTTTCTTCTGTTGTTTGTCTCAATTTTGGGGTTCCATAGAAAGGTAAAGAAGGTAAAAAAAAAAGCAATGGCATCACAGAAGGATGTTGCCAAAAGTTTGGGTATCAAAGTGCGAGAAGAATAAGTTTATTAGGTGTAACTTGTAAGTATTTATTTATGGCCCCCTGATTAAGTGGAGAAAGAGATTTGTGGGTTTTGATTGTTCTGCTTTTGCCTAAAATTTAACAGAATGGATTTTGCATTAATCCTTCCAAGTGTTCAAATTAAGTTAGTTGCAACTTCAATGACGGTGGTGATCCACTTTATTTATTATTAATTTCAAGCATTGATTTCGGAATTGACCGGCAAATTCTCCCTTGAAGACGACCGACTGAAGACTGATTTTTCCACCTTTCCCCATTCTACTTTATTATTGTTATTATTTTTTTATGAACATATTATTTGATTCTTTATTAGGTTGTTTTAGTTTATGCTTTATTTTTTATATATAAAAACTAAAATCCCTGCGGCTTTATAAATTAATTAATTAATAGAATCCTTAAGGCTTCGTCTTTTTCTTACTTTTGAGGCATGTCACCCACATGGAGATGTCTATTTGCCATTTGGGGCAGTAGCAAAGAAGCAGGCTAATATATATTAACAAAAATACTGAATATTTGTGGACAGGCCAGTAGTATATTTGTCATGTTAGGGTTTCGTGGTTTTATCGAAGCTGGCAATGCTCCAGGTTCAAGGCAATTATTCAATTCGTACAAAAAGGTAATTCCGTCTATCTCCATCCAAAAAAACCATTACTTTCGCCTAATCAGCACGCCGAATCATTTAAAATATCAATAAAATATTAATGACCTAACTCAATTAAACTAGTAACCCAACCAAAAACCTTAATTCTACCCACCCACCTGAATTCTTACAGACAAAAAACATGAGCCAAGTTAAGCCGCCGGTTCTGGCGACTCCAGCACCGCCTCCCCACCGCATTCATCAATACCTCGCCGCCACTAAACATATCATCGGAGATTCATAAATTGAATACTTTCATGTGTGTTTGTTATCGGAATTGGTCTCGCAAGATCATATTGTTAGTAAATTAAATGGTATATGATTCACTATGGAACTTTTTCGAACAACTCAAGTTATTGGGATCAACTGGTTCTTAACATATCTCACTGTCTCTCAATTTCATATAATATTTTTTATGGACGCCTTAGTTTTGGGCCCATAGCCGGTCTGTTCTGTTGATATCTGAAATGGGCCTCTTACAAACCTGTCCAATCCATCCTAGAAAAGAATCTAGTAGCTTCGACTTCCTCCGTTTCTTGCCATTCACGTTCAACTCTCAGTATTTCAAACGACGAGCGAGCCGAGAGAATCAACGGCGAGCAGGGGCTGAGGGACGACCAGACTGAAGGATTTCTCGGCGAGCGACGTCCACGAGTTCAATTGAGACCAGGGGGCGAGCGTAGCTACTGATTTAATTTGTTTGCTTGTTAGAGGGCAAGGTAAATTACGGAATTCGCTTCTTTTTCTGTTGGGAGGACGAATTTTCTGCGAATTAGGGTTGCTATTCGTTAAGATTTCAGCAGATTAGGGTTGCAGATTTTTGGGCGATTTGGCAGCAGGTTTAGGATAATCATATCAGTGCTTTCTTGAAGTGGGTAATCGATGGATTTTCGCTGTTTACCAACCGAATTCGTGTTTATCATGGTTTATCTGCGGTGGATGGTCATCTATGTTGGTTTGATTTGAAATGAATTTTGATAGCCAGAAAACCCACTATTAAAAGCACCAACTTTCTGCTCTTTCTTCTTCTTTTGGATTCGGGGTTCTTCTATGGTTAGGGTATGCGTTAATGATTTGTCCTCTGAGTTGGGCGAGCTGCCTATACTGTTCTGGTAGGACAATGAATGTTTGATGCAGAGCTTTTTTTTTGTTGAAATTTATAGAACTTGAGTTGCTTATCGATGGAGTGATGGAATGAATTGCTCATGTGTAGCAGCAGGACAGAAAGATGGAGGCATCAAAAGGGTCGCAGGAGATGCAGCAAGCAGCGGCAGCAGCAGCATCGTGTCGCAAGTACAAGAAGGACGATGCCACTTTTTTGGAGGATGTCAAAGCTCACATTGATGAATTCGTCAATGCATCAATGGACGAGCACAAGTCATGCTTTAAGAAAACCATGTCAAAGGTTTGTGAATGAATCTGGAAAAAAACGACATCCTAGTTCTCAGTTATTACAATTTACAGCAATCGTGGTTAGCGTATTTAACGGGTTCTTGCATGTGTTTTTACAGATGTTTGGGATGTCCAAGGTCGTTGCAGAGAAGCAAGCTGAAGCGAAAGGGGTCGAAAGTGTGCTTCCCCTGCAAACTAGTTTGTCCAAATGAAGGTCTCCTTACAGTTCTAGGTTTTTATGCATGTAAAACCTAGTCCTGGAGGAAGATGGTTGGTTACATTCTGCACTTTGATAGCTCATGAATGTTTGTTTAGCACTTTTTCCCTATCCAAATTACGTAGCAGCACAAGTTAAATGAAATGTTATGACTCTAGATACATATACCATACGTTCAAGCTGTTCTGTTCAGTGCATCTAAAAATGTGTACTAACCTCAATTGTGTGCAATTGAATGTGTTTAATTTTTAGCCTCGTTTTGATACTTACATCAAAATGCAAAGGTGATTGCGATGATTGTGACTTAAGTTTTCCGACGGTTCTTCTTCGACACATAATGAAATCGACTCGATACTTGAAAAATTCAGGCATTCTGGTGGCCCGACATTCCTAAGGGATACAGCTCTATCGTAGACCAGTGCTGCTTCTTCTGATGTTTCATATGTCGCCAAACCAAACTCTAAATGGACCACATTGTGCTTGCTCGTTAAGTTCAGTTCGATGGCCTGTGCTTCACTCTTATGTACTTGCACGATGATATGACTTCTGTGTTCTTCTGCTGATGTTTGATCTCAAACTAGTTCGCTGATAAGATTTGACACCTGAATTGCCTACGCTCGATTCTGACAACAAAACCAAAGATAAAAAGATTTGAGTCGAACAACTAAATACGATTGATTCTTTTCCAAGAATGGATAGGGTCCTTGGATCAAGCACTTACCTAACTCGTGCAAAACCCTCCTATTATGAAATCCAGATTGGAGGAATTCCACACAACTGGATCTGGATATAGTTAAACTGCCCATCTTCTCTACTTCAACAATTACCTCACTCATGTAGAATTTATCACCTGTTAGTTGCCATATCTAACTCATATGTAACTGTTCTGCATGCTAATCCAGTGGAGTTAAACCAGTCTGAGCTTGCTTCTGTTCATTTATTGTCTTCTTATACCTCTCAACTTGACCTCTCATTACCAGAAGTAAGTTTTGCTGGTCACAGTTCCATCATCATCATCATCATCAGTTCTGGGCATTACACAGGAAGTACTGAATGAAATCACTTGGGTACTCAATGCCATTACAAAAAAGTGACAGGCTGCTGATCGAAGAGAGACCTGGAAGGACTCCTAATTGGGAAACAAAATGAGAGACTACGCTTTCTGATTCACAAGAGCTAGAGTGTCAGCAGCTGCGCCGTTACTCAGCAGACATCGCCGGCGTCTGGGACCCGATTACATCGCCGACCGACGAGCGTGTCAGAGTGGACACGGTAGTGAAAGCCCAGAAGTGTAAGGCCTTTGCTTGGTGAATTCTCAACCCGCGAAAGCCCAAAAGGAACTTGGATAACGTCGGCCCAACCCACTTTTCTATGGATTTCTGTCCAACGAGGCTTTATCATAATAACAAATCTCCAAAATCTTTGTGGTCCTTCCATTGCAGGGCATATAGGCTGGCAGCCTGGCGGGCATAAATGATTAAGAAGGGCGTTTGGTCGTTTGCTGATTGGATTTGAGATGGATTTTATTTATCCAAATTTGTGGACCTCAAAAATTTTCAATCCCATGTATTATGTTGGATTTGGTTGAAGTATGGGTGGCCAATGGTTGGATTTGGCGGGTTATGGTATAAATTGACCTAACGGCTTACTAACGGGTTGGTATAATTGTGATCCACAATTTATCTACACATTTTTTTGGGTTGGGTTGGGTGGGTGGCGAATGAGTGGGTTAACCCGCTAATGTAATTCTCCAACTAGTAATGATGCAAGTTGACTAACATTTATAATAAATTCCTCGCAAATTAGTAAGAATGCATCAATTTATATACCTTCCAATTTGTCTCATATGGAGAGTTTAGTACTTGTATCAAATCTTTCATACTTCATTAACCAATTGTGTAAAGAAAGTTCATGATTTTTTTGCGACCTAGAAACAATTAATAATTATAATTTGAATCTCAAAACCTAATGGACATTATACTACATAGCGAACAATAGTAGTAGATCAAAATATTATGTATTATCCATATTTAGAAGTTGATGGTTAGCGTGTAGTGTCAGTTAAGAAATACGATAACTATTTGGTAGTAAACACAAGCAACTATTGTTCATGTAAAATAGGGTGTGTGTCATTCGGGTGACCCGCAACCCACACATCACCCACCCGATAAGTGTGGGTCAGAGATTTATTGATCGATAATCTACCCACATCAATCATCCATTCACTGCGATTTAGATTATTTGCGGGTGAATCGATATCAAACCACAGATTACCACCCACTTGTCCAACTCAAACAGAAGAGGCTATAAAATTTTTAATTTCTATTGATCCATGCTACAAATCTATAAAAAAAATAACCAAATTTATCCATCAATCGGTAAATTCGTCAAATCCATTGATACAATAAACTCATCACAAATCCAAAATTTCTTTTTCTCCAAAACCTCTGTTTTTTTCTTTTCTTTTCTTTCTTTTCTTTCATCTTCTCCCTTCACAAGTAACATGAAAAATGGAATTTTTATGTTGGGACAGACAAGAGTCAAGAGGGAATGGATGGCATATATCTCGACAGTTCCAATACCTAACATTCCTTTTATTTATTCTAAATAAATAGTATAACTCCAAAAACTCCCAGAGATGGATAAGCCACTAGAATTTTAGTGTGATGCTATCCTCAAAAATTCCTAAAATTATAGTTTTTCCATTTAATTAATTGGTGGTTAGTGGTTACACACAGAAGCACAACAAACAACCCACCTCTAGTTAGCTCCCTTCTTCGATAAAAAAAAAGACTACATTCTGTTATGTGTCGTTTGAATAGGTTGTTGTGTAACTTTTAATATAAAAGTGGAATTCCTCACAAAATGAAAATGTGGTATTTGTGAGTTATTTCACAACAACTATCCCATATGAGGTATTGACAATAACTCATTAATGTGTTATTTCAAATTAACTCAAGTACAAATAACTAATCACCAACTTTTGTAGATAAACGGGTTATTTGCACCCAAATAACTCATACGAATAACTCATCCAAACTACCTATATTAATCGAAATCTATGACTGTTAATGGTATATAGTCTAACCGGTATCAAGATAAGTGGCACATATTTTTTTTATAGAGATCCGTTACAAGGTGGTATTAGAGGGATGGGGAAGGGGGAAACGAGCGTCGTCCTTGGGATTCAAATTTGGGAGCTCCAGACTGAAAATCAACGGTACGACCACTCGACACTAGTGGCGGAGCAACGTTAAGCCCAGGGTGGGCTATAGCCCCCCCCCCCCCCCCCCCCAACTTTCGAAAAAAGGTAAATTTACATGGAAAATGTGTAACAAATTTGAAAAATTGACTGGTTGGTAAAGCACTAGCCCCCTCATTAATGATCATGGTTCAAACCACTTCCGTGTATTTTTTTTTTACCCCGCTCATTCAAATTTCTGGCTCAGCCACTGCTCGACACGACCTCATTCGCAAGTGACGCATATTTTCACAATGATGACCATGAAGGTTTAATTACATCTATCTATATCTTCTATCTTCTATACTTAATATTATGGCTATTCAAAAGTAATTTCTTGCCACATAAGCACTTGGTGAGTTCACAAGATGCCAAGGTGGACAATTTTTTAACAAACAAAAATTTATTTATTGATCTATTTATGAAGCTATCTCTCACTTCTTTTAATACTTCTGCTCATTTTTACTAAAACTTAAAATAAGGTACATTTTTTGTGACACATTTAAACAAACAAACACACATAAGTAATAATATTTTCTTCAATTAAACAAACTATAAAAATGAAAATAGAGAGTGATAGTTTAACCCAAAATATCTTGTTAAATCTCATTAAGTAAATTTCTATTCATTTTCACTAAAAATTTATAATAAGTTACATTTTGATGGAAAAACAAGCACACATATGAATAATAATAATTTTCAATTAAACAAAATTTAAACGATGGCCTAGGAGAAAATGAGCGTTTGACAATCAATCGTTTTTGATAAATGAACTACATGACTATATATTTTTTGTTATCAAACACTCACTTCTTCCTAATGAATATACTTATAAAATAAAACAAGTATAATTTATATAGAAAAAGGTCTGAAGATAAATTTGACGTAGCAATAATTGTTATTTTTTAAAAACACTTCTTATGCATTCCGTTTAAATCAAAAACATATTAATTAGGAATACAACCTTTTAATTTATCTCTTCCATTTTCCCATTTTGATTGTCTCTCTAGAAATAAAATCAAACATTGAAAATAAGAAATTAGATAGAGAAGGAAATGGTAATGCATATGAAGTTTTTTTTTCTTTGTAGGAGAATAGGAGGAGGGAGGTACACGAGGAAACGATTAGATGGAAATTTTTTGAGCAGTTGTAACATACTTTTGCCTGTTGATAAAAGCAGTTCATCTTATCATTACGAACACGAGGTGAACCAGTGGCGTAGTTAGGATTTCATCTAAGGTGGGTCCACTTAAAAGAAAAATACACCTGGTAAAATAATTTTTGTTAACTTTGCGAATCATTCGTGACATAATCTTATATTGGAAAATTTTGGTTAAGTAAAATAGATTAGCAGTCAAAAGTATCAAGAATATTACTTTATATACCAAACAATTATTAATGATTTAGTTAGTCGTTCTGTTTCGTATGATGTTCTTTATAAAAAACCATTAGTATCTATAACTCGAGTTGTCAAGAGATATTTAATAATAAATCTTACACCAAACAATAATTCATGATTTGGTTAGTCATTCGCTTACAAATGATGTTATTTGTCAAGAATCTTTTTGAATCAATAAATTGAGTTGTTGGAAGAGATTCAATAATATATCTTATACTATTTACTAGCACGCTCCCTCATATAAGAAAGTCAACTTATAGAAAAATGAAGTTTGCACAAATCTGTATATCGTGTACTTAACAAATGAGGTCGCTAAAATTTCGAACAAAAAATATTTCGATCAACTATTCTCAATTAAATAACCCTAATTTTCTACATAAATTAACTATTGTACCTAATTGAACAATTTTCCTTCCGAGTCAGGGTGGGTCCCGAGACCCACCCTGTTATACTCTCCTTCCGCCACTGAGGTGAACCAAACCGAGGATTGTCGACTGCTCCCTCTTCCTCCTTGATCTGAAGCTCGCAACTGCTCACTCTTTTTTCCATTATTTTCTTAATTTCTTCCAAGTTAAAACTGTTGGATGGTAAATTTCCCTACTTGATGAGCGAATGTATTTATTCTTCGTTTTCACGGAGTTATTTTATGTTCTCTATTACGTCATATACTTTTATGTAAATAGGTAATATATGATTAGAAAGGATAATTGGTAGGACTTAGAGCATATGTCCTTTGGTTGAATAATTGATTTTTACTTAAATGCCTATTGCAACCCGATACTTTAGATGTTGAAATGGAAAGTGGAGTTACGAGGGTTTTTCATTATGTTCCTTATGTTCATGTTGACATGCTACTAGCTAGCTATAAGATGATGATCTGGTTAATAATTAGTAGGTAGCAATGGGATTATAAGTAGAAGGGAACATAATTGGGGGTTTTATAAAGGTCGTGAAGAAGAAAGAAAATGACTGTGGCGGTTCGTCGGTTGTGTATTTTGATGTTTTTTCAATTTCTACACGTTTGCAATGACATTTGTTTGTTTCATTAGGGTGAATTTCTCCTCATTAAATCCTTAACTAAAGCTTGATTTTGACATGATTATTTTCTTACCAACTACTATTTTGATTGGTGCATAGATTCAGTTCACAAATTAGGAATCTGCAAGATAGAATGAGTTGAGTTGTATTGAAGTATGCTCTTTTCATTATTTGTCTATGTTGTTATTAGGTAAAAAAGCACTATTTTTCCTTTAGGATATATGCAGCTCTCTATAAATTATAAATTGTGTTTATATGAAGTTTAGTTTGTTGAAAATATTGTTTAATAAATTAGTGACAACTGATAGTTCTGTTTGTGGTTGGTTTTGCTAGAACATTGACAAGAAAATTAATTGAGTATCCAGAAGACTGATGGATGTGGATGCTAATGTATTTCATCATTATTCCAGAATTGCAGGTGTAACTGATAATACACGAAATTCGTGAGATCTAGATCGGAACATTCTCTATTATCATATACCAACATAGGAGAAGGGAAAGAAAATGAAAAGCTCTTCACTTATTTTATTAATTGAATCTTATTTTCTTATCCTAACTTCTTCATTTTTTTACCTTAAAATTTTTAACTTCTTTATCACTTTTTTGAGTTCGATACAATCAATAAAGAACGGTCTACAAAGAGCTCAGTTAATACAATTAAATTTTTCATAAATAAAAAAGGTATAAAAGTATGAAACATTACCTAAATAAGGTAAGTGAGATTTACAATTTCATGTATATTAAATCAAAAAACATAAATGATAATAATAATTAGAATACTATAATAAATTTTAAAATAATCAAATGTAATGCACCGCCCAACGGGCGGGTAAAAAAATAGTTATCATATCTAAGCTCAATGTCTTTACCATTGTATCCAAAGCAGTCAATTCGATCCAAATTCCAACCAAACCATAATAGGATCAAGCCAAAATTAGACAAAAAATTAGAATAAGAATCCGACCAAAATAGCATGTTGTTTGTTTTGTTCCAATTAAATGGTAATTTTTGTACACTTCTTAATAGATATTTTAGACAATTTATTAAACTGAAATCTAACCAAATTATGTTTAATCTAGGGGCTTAAATCGTTGGCCAACCTTTCAATCACACCTTATAGGCAAGTGATTATTGATCTTGATTATAACCAGTAAAACAGTGCCAATTTGCTTACTTTATTGGTTCTAGAATCGACTTCATTTATCCTAATAATAACAATAATGATAGTGATAAACTGATAATGACAAGGACAATCATATGCTCTTTCACCCAAATAAAATCAAATGATGCCCTCCAATAATAATCCTTTGCCCTTTTTTCTTGCTTAACACCAACAAAAGAAGCCTATAAATAATAATGCTGTAATTGCATGCATGGCCACCTTAATTATGTTGTCAGCCCCAAACCATCACAGTAATTCATACCCTTCAATCGTGTTGCTGATTATGATTAATTGATTATCCCTCTATACTACCCTACAACTTTGAATATGAAAAACCTACGTGTCAAATTCATCTGAACATAAGTGTGAAAGCACAGTAAAACTGTTAATTCATTCAGCAAATGTAATAAATTAACAGTTATTTTTACGTCCAACGTCTAGACACGTTTAAACAAGTCGGACACTGAACAACAAAGCAACACTCGTCTTACAACTAATGCCTTCGCGAACATCTCACAAACATGGATCATGAGTAATTTTATATATGAGTAATTTTATAGATAACAAAAGAAAGCGGTAGATGATGAAATATTATCTAGCATATCTATATATAACAAAATTCAAAACTCGAGACCTTCAAAACTAAAAGATGGCTAGCTGCTTGACGGTTCAGTGAGAATTCTAATCGAAGACCAAATTATATGCATGATGATACTAATTCTCTTATGTTCGAACTGAATTGGTGTTACTTGAAACGCGACTAAATTCCATTTCATCAAACACATGCATGCATTATGAGGAAGTCTCAACAAGCTCCCATTTGCACTCAAATTGTGCTTCAAATTTTCTCTGTGTTACACAAGAAACTGAACTTGTTATTTTCCACCACCACATAGTAATATAGTACTTGTTATTTTGCACAAATTTGGTCGTCTGGTCATCAGTTGAATTAAAAGACAAAAGACCCGCAGGTGAAAGCACAGCCCATTAAAGCAATCCTTCAAGGATAGATCATTCCTTATCATCAATGAAAACAATTCATTATTAATTCTCATCCTCTTGTGCTTTCATTAATCAAAGAAAGATCAGCATATACCATCAATCGTAATCATATCTATATTCAAATAATGTCCCTCTTCCAATGTGATCCATATGCTACTGTAATTAACAAAATACATGATTTCCAATTATTATAGCCTGGCCTACCTACGCTCTATAATTCATACTTTTTTTTTTTAATTATAAACCTTCCCAATAAAAACACCATCATCAATGGCCCAGATATACCTTATAGCAAGTTACATTTTAAACCTTGATCGCTGTATTTGTAAAACTGTACCGTACCGGCGGTCAATTTGGGAACACCTCTTACAAGAATCTAATCCGCGATAGACGGTTTTTAGCAATATGAAACGATCGAGCCACAATTAAATCATGGTTTCGACATAAAATATTTTACCGCTGACTTTTTGATTTGATCATCGAACTAGCATATCTTTTCCTATGCATGCAGATTTGTGAGTGACTTGAGGTCTCAATTCCTAGTCCAGCAAAAACCAAAACATTTCTCAACATACAGTGCTTTTGCCCTACGTTGTGCATTTCTTTTTTTTAGTCAAGTTTGTACATCATGACGGCAGCCTTCCTCCTCGATACATTGAATATGAATCAAATCAAGTGTATGACGATCAAACAATTTAATGATCTTGTTGACATTTTTGAAAATTTACCCAACTGTTGATTTTTCCTCGCTTTTTTTTTTCTCCGGACAAAATTCATTGAGCATGCCGTTGAAATTGGTCATTATGCACATCCTCATTATTACTATTAGCCGCCTAGAAAAGAAAATGACCCCTATTCCATCATAATATAACCTTGGAGCAGGAAAAAAAAAACTAAAATCAATCAATGTGACATTATAACAGCCATCACCAAGCTAAGCTTCCTTCAATAAATTATAAACAAGATAATTAATTCATTTGGGAATTTGGATTTGTCGTTCCCCTTATAGCACGGGTCTCCAAGCTACCGTTGACACTTGACCTAAAGAAGCCTTTAATATTAACGAGGTGTCACAACTCTAAAATTTATGGGCACGAACACGAGCACAGCTGCGATACAGTTTATAAGTGGGTTGTGTTCGGATCTAATATTTTTAAGACCCTATTGAATATAAGCACGATATGACACGGAAAATATTTTTTTATAGAAAATAAAATATAAATAAATATATATATATATATATAAGTTCAAAATATTATAAAATAGAACTACCAAAGTAATTATCTATTGTTGTTAGAACTTAGAAGTGATGATAACATGTGGAGGCCAAATCATACCCGCTATACATTCAATTTTCTTCTATTCCGTACCCACTTCTTCTTTTTCCTAATCACTTAGCACGAATATGAGCACATCCGATTTTCTTCTATTTCCATACCTTCTTAGCTTAGCACGAATATGAGCACATCCGATTTTCTTCTATTTCCATACCTTCTTTTTTTCCTAATCACTTAGAACGAATATGAGCACGACACAAATACAAGCAGAAGCGGCACAATTCAAACGGGGCTGGCGAGCTCGAACCTGTGTTGAGTCTGGCAACTTAGAAATATGGGCTGGCATAACACAAGACGATATAAACGAACGAGCTCAAAGCATGTCAAGAAGCCATCGGCGAATGCAAATTATTAGTGGGAGAACCTCCATCATAACAAACAATATAATCATGATCATCATCAGTCAAAGGGGAAAAAAACCCTCCTTTCATATTCAATACACAAAAATCAATTGAATACCACCCAACAAAACTGAAGTATTTTTTTCTTTCGAAACCAAAAGAGGAGGAATAAAAGCTATCTTCTTTCTACTTCTTCATCATCATCCCCCATGGTAGCTAGCTAGTCAAAGAAAGGGAAAAGAGTAGAAGACAAATAAAACACACAACAACCACCCTTCCAAAAAAAACACCCCCCCACTTCCCCCAGGAGGAACGAACACCCATCTTAAATGACAAAAAACTACTGACCCACAAATATTTACAGCTGGGTTTTCACTTTTTCACTCCTCCGACTTATTAATGGAGCTGTAGCTCTACTTTAGCAAGTCAAGAAGCAGCTGGTTGGTTAGGTTGAGGCTGCTGCTGCTGTTGCTGTTTAGACATGTGAAGCTGCTGCACAAAAGGATGCACATTCCTACTGCCATTACTGCTGCTGCTGCCATTACTTCCACCACCACCACCCAACGACAATGCTGTTGATGAGTTGTTGTTCGTGCCGCTAGTGGTAGCAGCGGCGGTGGTGATTGGGTTGCCGGCGGGAGCGGTGGAGGTTGAGGTGTTGGTGGTGGCGACGCGCTCGCAGGAAGGGCACATGGTGAGCGTGGTGGCAGGGAGCTGCATGTAGAAAGGCTGGGAAGTCTTCAGGGCTCTTAATTCCTGCAGTTCCTTTTGCAACCTCCTGTTCTCTTCTGTCAGTGTCTCGCAGCACCTCTTTAAATACTCGCAATCTACCTCTGTTTGTTTCAGCTTTGTCCTGTTTGTTTTTTCGTATATTAAATTGAATAAAAAAAAATTGAAATGAGAACCAACCAATTATACATACATATTCCAAAAGATCATAACCATCCAAAAGAAGGGAACACGAAAGAGAACAAACAGATGTACAACAATCAATCATATCTCTATATTGCACCACAAATCAGTGCTTATCCGATGGATAATCCATTCCCTCTTCCTAAGAGATAATGCAAATCATATTGATAGAGGGATAAACGATGATGATAAAGTTATGATTACCTGGCCCTTCTGTTCTGAAACCACACCTCCACCTGCCTCGGCCGTAGATTCAGCTGCTTCGCCAGCGCTAGCTTTTGCTTCTGCAGATTCAAGGGGACGAAAATCAAGTTAAAGCTGATTAATTGATTGGACCCGTTTGAATTGTAATCTGGGTGGAGGTTCAGGAGGAGAAAGATTGGAGCTTTTTCCTGGGTTAGATTTACTTACGGGGTTAAGGGTGTTGTGTTCTTTGAAGCTCTCTTCGAGAAAAGCCGATTGGTCTTTGGAAAGTCGGAGTTTCTTCCGAGTGGATCCGTTCTCGTCATCATCACTCGCTCGTTCGGCTTCAGCTGCCTCCAAATCTCGCTTCCCTGGACCAAAGGCTCCGCCGGCGCCGCCACTACCGACCCCGAAATCCATCTGAAGCGACGAGCCGCCGCTGTTGGGAGACGAGAGCGCCGCCCCGTCGTCCCCTTCCTCCCCCGAGAAACGGTTCACGTCTAACCGCCTCGCCTGTGTTGACCCGTCCGTCGCCCCATGCGCAGACGAAGTCACTGAGGCATTTCACCGAACACCATGAGGACATATCAACGGAGATAGAAATCGAAAGACCAAAACCCCCCACCCAGATCCTAAAAATCAAATCATTGGAGATAGAAAATCAACTGAAGATGACTTACGAGCTGGGTCGGTAGCAATAAGCCACGGGAACCGAGCCTCCGACGCCGGTGCCGCCGCCGCCGCCGTCGTGGGTCTTCTGTGAACAGGGGAGAAAGGCAGGAGATCGAGCTGCAGAGGAGTCTGCGGGTCTGTCGATGACGAAGCATTCAACCTTCTCCCGTCGTCTCCTCGTCGATCGATGATCTCCCGGTGGGGCGATCTCGAAGCGGCAATAGCAGAGCTACTAGCAGCGGCAGCTCCTCCTCCTCCTCCGCCGCCGCCGCCCAAGCCCATGCAGAAGCCCAAGTGGTGATCTTTGGTCGGTGCGGCTTTGTCGAGGAACTTGAAGGGTTTGGAGGCGTCGCCCAAGCTCAGAGCCAGCTCCATTTTATTTTTTTTCTTCTCTCGCTCTGGAGAGGGAAGGGAGAGAGAAAGTAGAAGGGGAAAGGGGAAACCTGAGAGAAAGCCAAGAAGCCTATCCAGAGTATTTAAACGCTGAGGAGGAAAGCAACAAAATAAGGAAATTGAATAAAATAAAATAAAAATTGGTGGAAAATTTTAATATTGATAATGATGTATGATAATTAATAATTATTATAATCCGGTTTGCCTCCCATTTTCTATTTCTTTTTAAGGTAATTATATATATTATTTTATATAATATTTTTCATTTATCTAAGAATTTTTTTTACATTAACTTTTTTTTTAATATTTTGGATTGGTGAGGTTTTGCTTTTGGTTGTGGCCATGGTTGTCACGCCGGCCGGCGTGCCACTGGTTGAATCTGGTTCAACATGTACCGGTCATAAAAATGGTATGACACTACTGATATGACCGGCATGATCGATATACGAATCTCCAAGTAAAATGATCATATCTTAGTGAATTTAATTGATAAAAAATAATTTATTATTTATTTTATGTGTTAAAAAAGTTAAATGTTGATGTTATTTGTTGGATTCAAGTACTATTATTTAGGTATTGAAGTTAAATGTCGTGTTTAAATATGAGTATTTGTAAATTATTTATAATATTAACCGGCATGAACCGACACATATCGGTATGTACCACTGGTCGAACCATTCCACTTGCTAAACCGATACACTAGCACAAACCGGTTTGACAACCTTGGTTGTGGCCTTGTGGGTGCTGAGTAAAAGATTGACCGACAAATCGAGGTTGACAATCACACGTGAATCTATATAAATATACACAACGGTCCACACGCAGATTTGCATACTCTTCCTTTCCTTTCCTTTCCTTACCTCCTTTTTTATTTTATTTTATTTTCTTCTGCCTCTAACTTGTGTGACCAGTGACCAGTGACCAGTCAGTGGGATTTCTCTCTTATACAGAGGAAAAGAGGGTTTTAACCTTTTAGCTCTCGCCTCTCAGTTATTTCTTTTTTACTTTTAACTATTTTCCCCCTTTGATTTTAGGTGTTTTAATCTAGTGTTAAATGATGATAAAGTAGAGTAAATGGCGCATTTATTTGGACTAGCGTCGTGGTCTCTTATGAGTACTTGGAAAAAGAGTAAGATTTTTAGAGGAGGTTATGTACTTGTGTTGTGCTGTGTCTCTTATGAGAAACCTAAATGTGTCTGTCGGATCGGAAATGTTGGATACCGGACCAAAAATGATGGATGGTTTTAGAGGTAGAAAATGGTTGAACCATGGTCAAATCATGATTTTAGTATAATATACAACACCACTAATTTTTTCAGTATAACCCCCGGTACAGATTCACAATCATTGCTGCGAAAATAAAGAAGCAGGGACTTTTTTGGAAGAGGGGAAAATAAGTGATTGATGACAAAATCCCTATTAAATTTATCAATTAAGGTTTTATGATGTCAATTTGAGTAGAAAATTCAAAAAAAATTACTCAAGTTTGTTTTATTATAAGCCCATTCAAGACTAACCGACTCACTTGGTATGTCAGAAATAAGCAACCAACTATGTGAGTTAATATGTTGTCTTAATCTACCCTATTCCACAAAGAACGTTAAACTTACGGGTCATTCAGATAAAAAAATTGTCAAGATAGGTGGACTAACAAAATTACTAAATTTGGGAGTATGGTTGTGTGCATGAATATTTCTGGTCATAATTGATCAGATAAGAAATTCACAACTAAACACATGTTTCACTGGAAAACATATATAAAAATATTTTACTAAAAGTGCAATATCATAATTCCTTTCTCTAGGATCTACTTCAAACCCCCAAAGGTTGAATGATTGTTGGTTCTATAAAGATTTCTATCAAGTTTTTTTTTTTATAGATAGCTCGACTAAGGACATTGAACACTACATGATCACAACGCATGAACATTGTATGAGTATAAAATCGAAGCTCATGAGTTATTAAAGTGTAATAACAACAAAATGCTTACATTCAAAACAAACTTGAAATCTAACCCCTAAATAAGATGCATGAACTCACAAATTAAGGACATACTGGTTATGAAAAATAAACAACCCTAAGAGTCTGTGAGAACAACGCAAAATTGGTCAAGCCAAGTAAAAAGTGATCCATCGATTGAACCAGAAAATGAAAGCATACGACATGCCTTAATATATTTTAGATTATCACGACATGATATGACGGACATATGTTCAGCAGTTCAGGAACCAATTTGGGTTAAGGTTTGAGGTTAAGGGGTTCAAGGATTTGAGTTAAGGGTTTAAAGTGTTGAGGTTTATGTTTTACAAGTTAGGGGTTTGTCTAGGGTTTATGAATTTGGGTCTAGGATTTCAGGTATTCAAGCATTCACTCAAATTTCAGATCTTGTTTCATATTTGGTGCTTCATTATTATTATTGTTATTATTATTATTATTATTATTATTATTATTATTATTTTCACTTTTTTTTTTTTTTGCCTTCATAGTCATCAAAGTCTCCACCCTAGTTATATATATTGAGACTTGATAAAGGTCTACTGTCTACACAACTAACCATCAATCGTTTTACAAAAGTTTAAGTGATCAACATTATTGACCTTATGCTCCACTTTATGAACACTATAATTGACACGACCAATCTCATAATCTACCTAATTAATTATATGATCGACATAATTGACAAAATAATTAACCTGGCCATCTTTTTTGGTTAAGGTGATGAAAACCCCCGCACGACTTTAAGTAATTTCTCTGCTCCTCACCCCCATTGTTTTCAGTTTCCTTTTGGTAACCCTATCCATATTTTTTACCCTAAAAAATGAACATCTTTCTCATTTGCCTTCCTTCCCAAATTTTATAGAAATCGCCAATTCGATTATTCATTCTTTTTTTCTCTTTTAAAGACAGACAGAACGCCAGTATATGGTGTTAATAATTGTTTCTGGAGAGATTTTAGGCTTTTAATGCGGGAAAGGCTGGGTTTGGCATTGGAGCGAGTAAAAGGTTTAATTAAAAGCGCTCCTCTCTTAACCTTTTTACTGAATTTAATTGTGCAAATTCTGCAAAGGTAATCTTCAAATGTGCACCAAATTATTACTGTCGTTCACCAGAATAACAAGATATAAAATGGGTTTGTGAATATTAATGATCATATATAGTGGTACGTTGTGGACATGATGTTGTTACTGACTACTGCTTCTGTAAAATGTCTTAACATTCTCCAATTATCATTGTCATTATTAATTGTTATGAGTAGCAGCAGCAACAACATCACCATTATTGTTATTCTCATATGTATCCAATGATTAAACATTTTTACCAAACATAATAATGCCCCATGTGTTTGATTCCCTTAAAAATATTACTGTGTTCAAACACTTGGCAATTTTTATTTACTGAGTTTAAATCTAAGAACATTTTTAATCTATATCATTGGTATTTTGGCTTATTAATATCTACGAAGTGAAACATAGTAACTATGTGTAAATTTGTTTAGAATGATGATTGTTCGAAGGATAATGAGAATCATTCAACCACCTGATTAATAACATGAAGTTAGATTGGTTGAACTTAAGCTTCATTGTTCCTAGGGAAGCATTAGCCACGATGATTTTAATTAGTAAATTAGATTGGTTGAATTTATGCTTCGTTGCTCCTTCGGTAGCATTATTTCCCACGATGTCTTTACTAACCAACATTCATCGTTAATGATCAGAAACATAAATTGGTAACATGTTAAGAACCTTGTGGGTTGTACGTAACCCTATACCTGTGAACGGCATAAGAAAATCGTATTTTTACGGGATTAATTTGATTTTCATGATGAAAATCTGACTCTCTAGTGATAGGGTGTAGGAAACATAAATATTATGAGTAATTATGGGGTTAGACGGCCGATTAGTGTCTGAGTAGATTATGAGGATATTATTAGGATTTTTGGGTTTATTTCTTATTAATATGTATTTGGATCATTACGTTAAATGAATCATAAATCAATAATAAAAAATCCTATTCAGTTTACCCCTCTTCTTCTCCTAATCTCTTCTAATCCCTAAATCCAATTCTGTTCTTCCTATCTCAATTTTCAATTCTCCTACTCAAATCCCTAATTCTTTCTCTCAACCTCTAAATCTCGTTCTAATCTATCATATTACGTTCATTGCAAGTTACCGAAGAATCATAGTTCCTTCATAGGGATCATGGAGTTTATAATGACATTCTATTACGAAAAATCTATGTAAACAACCCGCAAAACCCACAAACGTTCGTCGCCTTCTGTCATTTCCCATCACTCCTCCCTCTAAATTAAACCCTCCTTCAATCCTTCTGGTCCACGAATTCGCCTTCCTCTTCTCCACATCCATGGACAATTAGGAATGGCAATGGGACAGGTCCGGAGAGGGTTTCTTGATACCTAGACCTACCCCGTGGCAGGTCGAGTATTTATTACGGGTCGGGGCAGGTCGACCCAATGGGTATGCAATTTATATGAAAATCATTAGAAAAGTTCGTTATTTTTATTATAAGACCAAGAATACAAACAATATTATGATAAATGTAGTTAAATTTTTAGAGAAATTGATGTTTTCACTAATTTATAACTTTATTGTAACTAAATTATGATGTAATAAAAGAAAATCCTAAGTGATTTACTAAGATTACATGTAATTTAGGCAAGAACGGGTCGAGAATTGGGCGGGTCAGTGCAGGTCGGGGTCGATGAGAGTACCCATGCCTGTCCCGCCCCGTCCCAAAACAGGCCAACATGTGGGATAAAACGGGTCAGGTCGAAATTGTCATCCCTATACGACAATCCTAGCAACTAGGTTCTCGTCTATTGGAACCTGTAATCCGGACAAATGAGATTGCCAAGAGCTCTGCACAGCTTCACCCACCGAGATCTTGACCCGACTCGACCCATAATTCTATTGGTTGCAGATGCCGCTACATCAGCCGAGTCAGAAACAATGATCAACTCTAGATCAAACTCTGAGAGAAAATGACGAGATGTGTTTATTTAGAAAGCAAGAATGTCCTTGGAATAGAATTATGCGTCCCTGGATGAGATGTGTTATTTATAAGGCAAAATCCACTTCCATAGCCATAACTTTGCACTTTGTGACAAATATAGCCAAGTTTGAAAAAATACACAGAAATAGCCACAAATTTGAAACTACCTTGACAATTATAGCCATTTCCGTTAAATTTATTGACGGAGTTAGAGATGCCGTTGGCGTCTGTCAACAACAAGCTGAGATGGCGCCTAGTCAGCTTTTACATCAACTCTAAATCGACGTGTCATGCCACATGTCATGCCATGTCAGCTTAAAAATTAAAAATATTATTTATTACAAAAAAAATATAATAAATAAATAATCTAATTGACCATCGTCTCTAAACCTCCTTCTCCATTTGACGGCCAACCTACTCCATTTTCATGGACATAAAAAAACCTAAAAATCAAATGAAATTCACAACAACCAAACCATTCATCCCTCTCATCACCACCACCACCACCACCATAATCTCTACGGTCCATCTTCTTCCTTCCCCCTTCTGATTCCTCTTTAATTCTTCTTCCTTGTCACTTCTCACCACTTAGCCTTCTGATTTCACAGGCTTCATCTATTCCCCCAAATACTACATGGATCCCCTGCCTGCTTCATCCATCTTTGGCAAAATAAACCTGGGTAGCTGCCGCCGTCCATCTCTTCGTACTCCACTCAGCCAAAGTCGAGTCCTTTGCTACTCTAGCTGAAGAGATCTTGGCCACCGTCGAAGAGGCAGACCAGCTGCTGCCGGATGAGATTCATCTTCTTCGTCTCCTTCCTTCACCTCCCCTTTATTCGAAAATCTCGTGGGTAACGCCGAGGCAGTGGAGTGTCTGAATTCCCTGCTGCAGCAGAAGCTTGAGAGCCGTGAAGAAGAGGACGCGCTCAAAATCCTGACTCGTCTCGTGGTCGCGCAATCATGCCGCTGAGGGAGAGCAACAATCTCCATCGCAGATCGAGAAACTAAAACCTAATCGACGCTATCTCCTTGCAGATTTCCTCCCTGAAAAACCACCAGATCTGGGCGGTTTCCAAAGATCTGGGCGGTTTTTAAATATGCCGTCGCCGGAATCGACAATGAGCAGAGGGTACAAGCGAATCGCCGTCGATGTTGCGGCAAATCCTCCCTCTGTCAGTCGCTGCTACGTCTGAATCCCTGTGTATTGTCGGACCGCGGAGGCGAGCTGGACCGTATCGAGTGGTTAATGGACCAAGGCTGATGAGTGCGTTCGTCGATTGAGAGTCGCCGGCGATTTTAAGTTTAGGTGGAATGGAGGTGGGATTTCTGTGAAGAGGAAAAAGAGAAGAATTGGAAAGGGCGGATGAGGAAAAGAATGGTAAAGTAGGGTTTTTTTTTAATAAATATAATTAATTTAGTTTTCCACCATGGCATGCCACATAGACCAAATAAAATGCAGCCACATTCAACCGTTTGCCCAGTCAGCCGTCTTTATAATTCCGTTACATTAATGGACGGAATGGCTATTTCTGTGTATTTTTTCAAATTTGGCTATATTTGTCACAAAATGCAAAGTTATGGCTATGGAAGTGAATTTTGCCTATTTATAAAGCTGACTCCATAAGCTATTTTTGAAACACACATACTAATGAAATTTGCAAATTTCACATGGACAGAAACCTTGATTGTTTGGATCCCTTGCCAGCGTGTAGTTATGTTGAAACCTCGTATTATTAAAGATCGTGGTAAAACCCAGCATCTAAATCCCTCATCCAAACTAAGCCAAACAAGAGGTGATTCGCTCAAAATAAACTGGAAAAAAAAAACGGCAAGAATGGGAAAAGGATGAAGAACAATATCATCATTAGCACTGAGAGTTGAGATTAGCAAGAGATTTGACCAATAGAAGACAGGGGACACGGCTTTTTTTTCTTCCCCATGCTTCCTCTTTGCTGAGGCAGACAAAGAGACCAATTTTTCTACTTCTCCAAGAAAGCTAAACAATTAAAGGATATATATATTTTTTGTGTTGCACAATTTTAAAGGCACCAAAAAGCAACTCGAAACCAAAGCAAACCTAACTAAAACCCCTTTTGATGTTCTTTTTTTTGCGCCTTTCATCAATCAAGTAAACCAACCAATCTACAAAGTCATGTGTCATCGATTGCACCCATCTTTGAAACCCATGATGAAGGAGAGGCAAGTGCAAACTGCAAATGGGTATCCAATGATTCCAACACCAACGAGGAGAGACGAGATGTCAAAAGTAAAATAAGAAACGCCCAAATAATGATAGGAAATAATGCTGTAGTAGAGTACCGTAAGGAAAATGAATGACGAAATCGAACCGAGATGTGGAACAATGTCTAAGTTGCAAAGGGATTAGAGATGCAATGGTTGTTTTGCATAACCTTTTCAAAATCCGACGAAGAAGGGGAAAAGATAATAAATCAAAATACTAGTGGCGAATGAGCCGAGCCGAGTCGAGTTTGATCATATAAGTGATCATCGTTTTGCGGCTGATAGTCTGATTCAAGTCACATCAACAAAATCAAATGATAAGCTGTTGATCGAATTCCCTCATAGATTACTAGTTGAGGAAGGTCGTTAGCAATACTATTGAGCCAACTTATAGCTCAAAACGAACTCACTCACGAATTGAGCTGTACAAATCATCGTGACGAACTAGCTCGTGATCCTTACAAGTAGAACAAGACTTAATAGAGTGGAGTGTGTCCATTTCCATGCCATGCGCGTGGGGGTGGGGACAGTAGCAAAGCCATTGCAATTTGTTTTTGTAATTTTCTTTAAAAAAAGAAAAAGACAGGAGCAGAGAATAGAGAGAGAGAGAGAGACTTGGCAGGTGGGGCAGTGAAAGGTCAGAGATGTCATGCTTTTGGGATCCTTGCAATTATTGAACTCATGGCAGCAGCCTTTAATGATAAGCTCAATTCAACCCCCACTATACTCCCAACCACACCTACACACGCAAAAAGAAAAAGAACAAACAAACAATGAATATACAATAATGAGAAAGACATGCCAATACCTAGAAATAAGAAGAAGAAGAAGAAAAAAAAAAAAACATAAAAGTTTAGGAAAATAAGATTTCATTTCCTATTCTCTTTTCTGAGTTCGTTGTATGAGATGAACGAGAGTGGGGAAATCGGTACCGTATCGGTAATTTCAATATCAATCGCGAAATTTCGAAAAATCGAACTGCACACTAAAATCAATTTCAAAACTAAATTTGGTATTCTAATTTCAATCCCGAAATATTTTTGGTTTCTCAATCTGTATTATCGAATACGAAACTAATACACCCTTCACGATTAATTATCAAATGTATAAATAGATAATAGTTAGAACACATTAATATCGATTCTCGAGCATTTATATAGTGAAAAATATAGAATGAAAACTAATCGAAATCATCATTGGTTGGATTTCAATCAAAGTCTCCATTGAACTTATTCATTGTAGGTTCCATTCAGATCAAAGAGACTAAGCAAAGGGGTTTAAGTTCGACTAGAGTTGGGACATGGATAAGAAGAAGAGAGAACATGGTGATATCTCAATTTCTTGTCATCGTTAATTTTTCATTCGATGGATTGGAGGTTGATAAACAATTATTGAGAGTGTCTGCTTTTGGTGACACAAAAGTAACAAGTGATTGGGTGAGAGATAAAAATGATTTAAATTGAAAAGCCAAAATTGGGTTTAGATGAGGGTTTTTTTGTGAATTGTGAGTTCTCGAAGAGCGAGGAAAAACCACTATATTTTATTACTTTTTAATTTTTATTATTTGTTGATATTTTGATATATATCGATCTCAAACCTGTAATCTCGATTACCAAATAACACTCCAAATGAATCCCAATCTCAATGTTGAAAAAATATTCGCGGAAATAATAGCAAATAGTGACGAAAATGGTTTTTGGGCCATTACAATTGTCTGAGGTGGGAGCATATAACTCGAATTGACTCATTTTGTAAAATGAAACAATTGATCAAATTGTCTCGTTTTTCAATTGATCCATCTAACGACCCAAAATCTCTTTAGTACTAACAATTTTAAACATCACATTGATGTGATTATTTTATTTACTAAATGTGTCCTTTTTGTAAAAAAGGTTTTCGAGATTCAAATTCCACTTTTCCAAACAAACCCATATAATTCCTCATTTATCTCACTCTGATTGTAAAAGGCGGGATCTATATGACATAAAGAGGTAAAATAAAATGTAACTTAACTACTTCCACATAATGATGTGCTTTTTTTATAATAGCAATGAATGGCTTGATGTGATTTTAATCGAACTATCTTGAGTTACGACGGTTGATGTGTTGTCGGATGGGGTCCAGGAGCAAGTTCACAGTGTATGGACTCAATGTTGTTTGAGTTTGCGTGGTTGTAACCGCTTTTCCTTTACCATATTGGATTAGAGTAGACCATAAAGAAGTACTATAAATACTTCTCATACTCCTCTATAATCTGTATCTCCTCAAAGTATAATGAAATTGGCTCTCTCCTGCCCGTGGACTAGCTAACACACATTGTGTTAATAAATCACGTAAATCATGTGCGTTCTTGTGTTTCGTTTTCTAGCTCTGGTGAATTATCTTATTTCTCGATTCTCAGATAAACAGTTCGTGACATAATGAATTTTGTTGAAAGATAAATAATGATGATAATAATGTTTAAAGATTTTTTTTATATTTGTTTGGACGAAAATTCATAATGACCGAGTCCATGTTGAGGGAGTGGGTGGCCAAAATTAGGGTACAAGGTAATAAGGCACCTTATTATGATCCATTATGATTTCCATTTCTTGATGATAATATGCTTTAAATTCAGGCGAACCCCATTTCGTTCCTCTACCACTAGTTGTGCTTCATTATTCTTCATCATACATATATATATAGAGAGTACCAATAATAGTAATTATGTGATATTTTAACAATTATTATGCAAACAAAAATCAATCAACGTGACGACCCCTTTCTTCCTCACAATCATTATCATAGGCCTATAGTTAGTAATTAACATTCCACCGGTCAATGCCACACCTTTTCATTTCACTATCTTGTGTTTGATTTTTATTCCAATTGCTAAGTAGTCAAGACTATTTGATTGACCATCCATCTTCACATATCGTCTAATTAAATGATTATGAGTACGATGATGAGTTTAGTTGTTAATTAATACTAGTGCTAGTTTTTTTTTATCAATATTCTTAAGTAAATACGGGTCAGACTGCTATGATCATGAAGAATACAATACTATATGTACTCTTAGTAAGATACCTCTGTCTAGACTATTAATTAAACTGATTTTGAGGTATGATAATATACCATAACTTCTAATGGATAAACCTTACGCCTCGGTTCTCCAAACCAAAATCTGAAGTTCAATTTAATATAAAACAATAATTGGCCATTCAGATTATTCGAAACTTATTGAAGTACATCTAACGGCTAGATCACCTAGAGTGTACTACGCTCATGGAATATACCAGTCTTTATCATATATGGGTCAGAATGCTATACTTCTGGAGTATACGATACTCCTGATACTCCTAGCATACGTCTGGCTATTGTATACATTTGTTCGCACATATAATGTATTTCGATGAATCATAACCGTTGGTTATTATTGTTTGTTAATTTGATATGATGGTATTGGGTTTAGAAAATTAGATGACGAGTTCACCCATTAGAGGTTAAAGTGTGGTATCATGCTGCAAACTGAGGTTAATTTATGACCTAAATAGCAAAACTCGCTAGTTGTATGGTAATGTTAGCATTAGGGCTGGCAGAACGGTTTTTGGTTAGCAGTTAACCAGATGGTTTCAACCGAACCGACCGGTTTTCGGCTAACCGAAAAACCAATTCTGGATACAGCGGTCGGTTGGCGGTGGGGAAGGGCAGGAGTTCGGCTAGCCGACTAACCGGGGTCGGTAACCGGCGGTTAACAGGCTAACCGACCCCTTCCCTTTCCTCAAAAACGACACCGCTTCAGCCCTACCACTAACCCTAAGCAATCGACCTCGGCAGTCGGCTCCAAATTCTCAATCCATCTCCAAATTCAACCTACAATCATTTCTCCTCCGCTGCAATGACCAAGATATTATCAACTCCTCAACCCCCGCCGCCGATCGTAATCAGGGAAGTCTGGGCGTCCAACCTGGAGGCCGAATTCGACCTCATCCACGACGCCATCGACGACTTCCCTTTCATTTCCATGGACACCGAGTTCCGCCCTCCCCCACCCTCAATCGACCGGACCAAGCCGTTCAACCCCTCCTACTGACACCAGCAGCGGAGGAATCCCTCCGACCACTACGAGATCCTCAAATCCGACGTCGACGCGCTCAATCTCATCCAGCCCTCCTCCCAATTCCCAAATCAATCGCGCAGCCCACTTCCCCTTCCCCCTTCTCGTCTTCTCGCGCAGAGAGCTCCAGCCCTCCACCATCGTCGATGCTATCGGATTCCTCACCACCGTTGGCGCCTCCGCCGCCTACTCCCTCTACCTCTACCTCATCCAGCTCACCTTCGACAACCTCGTATCGGG